TTTACTATTATTAATAAAGAAATACTTTCTCCGTCCCTTTTATTTAGCCAAACACTATTTTTCAAGTCAATGATATTAACATTTGACCGATTATATATTTATAAACGATAATATTTATAATATTGATAGAGTCTAATTTAATAATACCTTGTTGTATTTGTCAGAATGGATATTGTTAATGTTTATCAGTATACTTGTTGTAATTATCATTTCAACAACCTAGAATGTATAGCATAGTCTTTAGGATCTTAACCAACTCACCCAGTGAGTGCTGCGTCAGGACTCTGTACAGAAGTGTATATAACATAGGCTATTATGGTGGACCCGGTTCGGGCCACCCGGCCCGTGAACCGGCCCGTCCTGGCCCAGCCCGCTACTGTGCGGGCCCGGGACCGGCCCGATCTGGCGGTCCGGGACCGGGTGGTGACCCGAACCGGTGGGATAGCGGGGGCGGGCACGGGTAGGGCAAATGGGAACCCGGGCCGGTCGGGCCCAATTCCTTTTTTTTCTCATTATTTTGGGTTTCCATCGGATTGGGCTGGGTGTTTTTTTGGGGGGGGTGAGGGGGTCAGGGGTAGTTAGGAAAGCAAAAAAAAATATACATTCGACCCGACCCGACCCAGACCTGGTGGATACCCGGGCCGGTCCCGGGTCTACCCATTAAAACTCAAAGGCCCGCCGGGCCTAAGCGGGGCCTGGGTCCATACCTAAACATAGCTTCTCGGTTTCAATTCTTGCGTAATCCTTTAAAATCCTTTAAAATAATGTACTCCAAAATAAGTGTCATCTTTCCCTTTTTGGAAAGAAATATGTGGTTCATAACATTTCACTTTACTATACTCAAATCTCAACCACAACTTTTACCTTTTCAACCACTTTATTAAAAATTGTGCCAAAAGCAGAGAAAACACATAAAATGGGACGGAGGTAGTATCAGAGTTTATCATCACAGTTTATTTGAACCAGTAATATTATTTCAATGATTCTTTAGATCATGTGCTTACAGCATATTAGCATTTGACATTACACCAATAAGGCCAATTACTATTTCACTTCCTACAAACAAACCACAAGGGACATACTGAAATAAAATATTCCAATTTCTATTCAATTCTAAAGGAACACTCACATTGGTTTCTAGAGTCATGGACCCGGTCCAGTCCGACTGGCCTGGCCCGCTACTGTGCGGAACCGGCCCGACCCGGAAGACTGGTTCCGGTACCGGGCCTAGGCCCGACCCGGAGAGCATACCGGGGGCGGACCCGGGGCACCAAAATAGCGAACCGGCCCGTCCGGTTCGGGCCCGGCTAGGGCTTTTTTTTTGTTTGGGCTGGGTTTAGCCGTTTAGGTGGACTGGGTGATTCCAAGGGGTTTGGGGGTGGGGGTTGAAATAAATAATTAAACACAAAAACAAAATTACCGGGAACCGGCCGGGCCTAGGCCCGAACCGGACTGGGCCCGGTCCACCACTAGTTTCTAGTTTCTATGGAGTACTATTTTTAATATGTAAAGTTACCTCCATATTGTAAAATGTTACGACTGCTCTTGTTTTTCACCTACTCTTTTTACTTGACTTTAAGGATGTACTCCGTATTTAGATAGTCAAAACAAAATTTAATACGGAGTACAACATAAATCTGTGTTTAAATCATAGGGATATATTTTACAGAGTAAATAATAACACAATCAGATTTTTTTTACTATAAAAAACATTCACTAGTGTCGAAAGACAAGCCTAGAGCCAAGCTCCAAACCCCTAGAAACGTTGGGGTGAATTAAACTCGGGTGACATCCGACTGACAAGCTGTTCTGTTCGTCTTAATCTTATTACTTATTGCTTATTCTTATTTTATTCAGATCAGATCAGATCAGAAAAATTCAGATCAGAAACATTCAGATCAGATCAGAAACATCCAGATAGAACATTCAGATCAGATCAGAAAGATTCAGATCAGATCAGAAACATTCAGATCAGATCAGAAACATTCAGATCAGATCAGAAACATCCAGATAGAACATTCAGATCAGATCAGAAAGATTCAGATCAAATCAGATCAGAAACATTCAGATCAGATCAGAAACATTCAGATCAGATCAGAAAAGTTCAGACATGATTTATCTCTTTTATTATAATAATAATTATAATAATATTAATAATAATTATAATTATAATTATAATTATTATTATTATATTTATTAATTTATTACTCCGTATTATTATTATTCTTGTTGTTATTGTAATTATTATTATAATTACTATTATTATTGATATTATTATTATTATTATCATCATCATCATCATCATCATCATCATCATCATCATCATCATTACTATGATTACTATGATTATTATTATTATGATATTTATTATTATCATGATTATTATTATTCTTATTACTATTATGGTTGTTGTTGTTATTGTAATTAGTATTTTTTTGTTATTATTATATTACACGGAGTAATTACAATTAAAATTATAGAAATAAATATTATAATTATAATTAAAATTATAATTATAGAAATAATTATAACTAAAAATATAATTACAATTATAATTATAGCTTTTTTTGTTTACTCTAGGAGACGTCTGGGGGAGGGGATCTGGGGGGGGCCTGAAGTAAACTAGGTTGAAACTCACCCCATTGAGTTTCGAACCCGAGACCTCCCATAAGGGAGAGTGAGTCGGCGACCAGCTGAGCTGGACCGCTTCCTCTAATTATAGCTATATTTATAACTAGTGTAATACATATAATAATAATTATACCTATTATAATTATTATAATTATAATTATAATTTTTTTATAATTATGATTATAATTATAATTATATTTAAATTATATATGTGTAATTACATTTCTAATTATTATAATAAAAATTAAAATTATAATTATGATTTTAGAAATATTTAAATCAGACCAGATCAGAAGGATTCAGATCAGATCAGAAACATTCAGATCAGATCAGGAACATTCAGACCAGATCAGGAACATTCAGATCAGGAACATTCAGATCAGATCAGGGACATTTAGATCAGATCAGACTAGATCAGAAAGATTCAGATCAGAAACATTCAGATCAGATCAGAACTTAAAAAATTCAGATCAGAAACATTCAGATCAGGTGAAGAGAACAGCTTCTGAACCGAGCTAACCGACACTGTTTAGTGTTTACAATCAAACTTCTTACTCAGTTCTCCAGATGAGCTAGTAGTTTTGAGGTCAGAGAATTATTTCATAGTATTATTGTTATTAAATGAAAAGGAAGACGAAGTAGCTAACGGTTATGTTGCACAGAAACACAAGGATTATGAAGAAAACAAAAACGAGAAATGCCATGTGTAATGCATTTTCAAAAGAGTTTTTACAGAATTTCTGAAATGGAAATATACTCTTTTCCATGTGTAATTGTCCGTGACTACTCTTTCCCGGTATACTCTTTTGTTTCATGTACACACTAACACACCACACACTGGCTTACACACCCATGTGTAATTGTCTGTGTAATTGTCTGTATTCACGAAGCAAAACTCATTCTCCAATGACCCAAACTCTTGTTCCTTGTCATTTCATGCAGTCATTCAAATAATTACACGACACCACACTTGAAATAGTAATATACTGCTAATTGACACCCGCACGGGTAGCTCAGTTGGTCGAGTGGTGGAAAATTTGGAACAATGACCAAGGTTCGAATCCCCGCAGCGACCGAGTGGAGGTCACAGAACCTGAAATAAGGCTAGACCTCTGGTGCGCACGGGTGCATGGGCCTACTGCCACTCTACTGACTGAGTCACCGTGATTTACATCCTCCCAAAAGTCTTGTCGGGTCGGGGCGTGGGGGGCGCTTGGGGTTTGCGATTCAACCTTTTGGAACAATATATTGCTAATTGACAGCTTATTTTCTAGCACGCCCTACACGGCTACACTCAATTTCTAGACTGTGCAGTCTGCGCATGGCAGCAAAGAATGTGACATTTGATGGAGAGGATAAGAAGACACATTACACTACCTCATAAATTAAAAGAAAAAATCTTTTGGTACACCTCGGTATACACCCTATATAACCCCCCTTTCTTATTTCTCCCCTCCCAACTTTTTTCTCTCCACTCTCTTCTCCCCACTCCTCTCCCATAGTCCCATTTGAATCATACGGATCCCCTTCCCTCCTCTCTTTCTTCTTTCCTTTTTTCTTCAACATCTTGTTCTTTCTTCTTCCTTTCTTCCTTTCTCCTTCATCTTCTTCTTATTCTTCTTCTTCTTTCCTTTTCTTTTTTAGGTTTTATTCACCATAATCATCTTCATTATCTTCATCACCATCTTCTTTTTCTTTCCTTCTCACAGTTTACGTTTTATCTACACCGACACTGGTTTGCTATAGTGTCTGTGTACACAGACGAAAATTGTATATATACAGACACTTTTTTTTATACAAGACAACTAACGTCTGTGTACACCGACACTTGTTTTCCAACTAATTTTTTCACACCGATACTTTTTTGTCTACACAGACAACTAACGTCTGTGTACACCGACACTTGTTTTCCAACTAATTTTTTCACACTGACACTTCTTTGTCTACACAGACAACTAACGTCTGTGTACACCGACACTTGTTTTCCAACTAACTTTTCACACCGACACTTTTTTGTTTACACAGACAACTAATGTTTGTGTACACCGACATTGGTTTCCGTGCAACCAGCCTGACAGATCTAGAAACTAATTTTACTCACACCGACACTTTAAATGAAAGTGTTTGTATTTGTGTGTTTTTTGTCTGTGAGAAGGACAAATAAATGGGTGTATCCTGGGGTGTAACCCAGGGTGTACACCAAGAACTATTGAAATTAAAAACATGGTACCTCATAAACTATCATTTACTCTTATTAAAAAGTAATTAAACATGAGTGATAAAGTTGTAGATCTAAGAACGGGGAGGGTAAAATATGATTATGATAAAGAAATAACAACAATAATAATACAACATATAAGGAGTAGTGATAGTAATAACAACCATAGTAGTAATATAATACGGAGTAATATTAACCACAACAACAACAACAATTACGTACTTCCTTCGTCCCAAAACTAACTTCTAAGTTTGACTTTTGAGGTCAAACTTGGTTAATGTTGATCAATATTATTCAAAAATATGTGCTTATGAAATTTATAATAAATTAACAGTTCAATGATATGTATGAACAACTAATGCAAAAGTAATTTAATATTATAATGTATGTTTTAAATAATTAAGCATCAAAGTTAACAAAGTTTGACCTTAATAGTTAACTGAGAAGTTAATTATGGGACATAGGTAGTAATAAATGTGCACCCTTAACCAATCTAAACAGGCAACAAACAATAGAATATGGGGACCAACCAAAAAGGTGAAACAAAGAATAAATAGCAGGTTCAAAGAATGAATGGACGTGAGTTGCTAACTAACGATCTTCTTAATCAAACTATATTTACAAAGGCACAAAAATGTGTATCTGTCTGTCATCTAACATTGCAGCAGTAGGCTTTACCTTGACTCTGTAGTTTACCCCAAAGACAAATCATTTGCTTTGGAGATTGATAATGAGCGGTGGTATAATCTTCTATGCATCCAAACTGACAGAACTTCAAGCTGTGGACATACTCCACCCCTGTCTTCCTCGTGTTGTTCAACCTCTCCACCCACATTCCCATGCTCACGTCTTCCATCTTGAACAGCTGCATCCAGCATTTAATCTCAACCGTGTTATAAAAGCATGCTTCAACATTTTAGAAGCCGTTTGGCAAAACAAAACAAACAATAAAAAAGAAAAGTATATTTCTACAGTTTGGGTGAGGATTGATTCTATCCTATGTAAAAGAGAACAAAACTGAGAGCAACTGTGTTGATATGATTCTGAAACCAAATAGGTCAGGCTTCGTTGTTTCCCAGAACATAACTTGTTGCAGAAAATATTTTTGGTGAAAGTGTTTTCAAATAAATAATATTCTTACAGAAATTTCCATTTTTAAAAAACAGGAAGTCATTCTCCATATAAGTTCAAAGGTTTGTTCGAGTCCCGGAAAATGCCAAGGAAATAAAAATGTAATGGGATGTCATTTTCTTGTGTTGAGTTCTGCCTCTGAAAATGAAATATGATTAATGTTTTTAATTTCTTACATATGTTTAGATTTATTGGTCTTCGTATAGGAATAAATAAATAAAACGAGTTTCAACAAAACAAAGACCAAATTCAAATTTATTGACTTTGAAAGGATGCTTTATTTTCCCACGCATTTCCTTTCCGAGTCGAGAGTCATCAAAATCTTTTAGAAAATGTTTTGTTGGGTCAAATACAAACACCTTAAAACTGCTGCCTTAAACAGCACAGTCAGTTATTCAGATTTCAAATCAGACACATTCTTAGTTCCTTGGTTTTTATGGGATGCATTAGATAAATTGTGGCTTCAAAACGTCCAGTCTTGAGTGGAATGAACAAAGATGCGTGCACACACTGACACACATATATACACGCGCTGGCACACAGACATACACAGACGTGCACGCGCGCGTGCGCACAGACACACACACAAATGTATATATAACATAACATATGCACACATACACACACATATATATACACACTCATACATACACATGTATAAGAACAAATAGATTGGCCAAGGTAGCATTACCCTCAACTTGTGTTGCTCAAAATCAGAGACTATAGATTGTGCAATGTCAGTCGAGATGACATATCCAGGCCCGTTTGCATAGGGTGGATAATCTTCTTCTGGCCATTCCTATGACTCCCAGGAAACAAATTCAAAATCAGCTCATTTAGGAGAAGAGGATTTTTAGGGCTAGGTCAGTCTACTCTACCACAATAAGCACAAAAAATATTCAACTTATAGTTAGATTTTCAAGTTCAATCCATGTTTCGCCCCATAATTCATCAATCATTAATCATTTGAGAAAATACTAAGTTAAATTATAAATCATAATAATAGAAATTAAATCTCCCTCCATCCCTTATACCTTTGTCATCTTTCATTTTTTGGATGTCCCAAAAACTTTGACACTTTCCCTTTAAATCAATGAATTTGTAGTTCATGTTATTTCTCTCTCCTCTACACAAATTTCAACCACAGTTTTAACTTTATTATTTCCTGTGCCATGTCAAACTTGGCAAAGTTTTGAGGGATGGAGGGAGTATATAACAGTTGGCCAAAAGTACAGGTGATAAAAAAAAAGGAAAGGAATACATAAAAGCATACCTCATAGGTGACTGCCCATTTACCATGGCGAAGCGGCTTATGGTAGTAATTAATGTTTCCAACATAAAGGCTTCTACCGTGACGAACTTTCTTAACTTCATTCATGACAGCATCTATCCTTACAAATGTATCATCATCACACTTCATTATATACTTTGAAGCCACTGTACGGACCTGCATAACCCCAGAAAAGTTCATTAGATGGTGGGGATTCTAAAAATGACATAAAAACTAGGGTTCGTTTGGTAGAGTTTCCTGTTTTGGGTTTTTTGTTTTCTGTTAAAAACGTGTTCTAAAAATGCACTCAAAAATATGGAACATGTTTGCCATGAATTATATATTAATAAAATATATGATTGTTATGAAATAATCATAACAATTATATATTCTTGCTCCCTCTGTCCTGAAATAATCTTCATGTTTCCTTCTTTGGTCCATACTAAAATAATCTTCCAATTTCTTTTTTTTTGGAAAGAGATGTGTGATTGATATTGTTTCACCACACAATACTCTTCGATTACATTTCTTGATAAGCATGCCATGTAAAATAGGAAGATTATTTCAAGCGGACGGAGTCTTTCTGTTTTTTGAAAAGTGAAAACAGAAACATAAAACAAGGTGCTCACTAATTACACCTTAATGTATTGTCAAACCCACCCCATATTCGCAGATTGCCACTGTTTTCAATACCACGAGGTCGTAATTATCCAGGTACGGCACTATAACAATATCTCCAAAAAAGTCCGCTTCCTTCATAAGTTCCATATTTATTTCTTGTCTTCTGTGCTGCAAAAGTCCATTAAAAAATGTTAACAAACAAAATAACAATATGAAGGCGACCGGGCCACGATAACTCAGAACCCGTTTGGGGCGTGCGTCTTCAAACAAGTAACAGTTCTTCCGCAAGATTTCAAAGGTAATGTTTCAATGCTGTTATTAGAAACAAAAATTAGTGAATTAAAGAACTTAAAAGAACTTTTGTCAAACTAAAAGTACCAAAAATCATGCTTTATATAAAATTATTTATTGCAGAAAGGGCTTTTACATGTCACTCTCAATGGGACCTTAGCTTCTCAGGTACAGAGCATACTCAAAGTATGCAACTTACCATTGCAACGAAAAAGCGGGCAACGACATGCAAAGACCTAATTGATGCATGCTGCATCCATGATTTTCTCACAGCCATGCGCTCAGCAAAATGATTGCCAGCAGAAAGGATTCCAATAAAGAGTTCCACGGGTCCCACGGGAAAAGGCGGGGCCCGCCATCTTGGCAACATTTCCAAGTGCCTCTGAGGAGCAAAACTTGGATGTGTTGAGGGTAAGGAACCCACAAATATGGAATGCACATCGACATCCCCCTTCAGTGATAATCCTGTTGCATCCTCAAGAGTAAACCCCTGCAAAATAACAAAAAAAATGAATTTTCACATATTTATTATCTTGGATGTGTCTGAGAAGGTTTGTTGTGACAAGAAGTTTGGAAAGCGTTACTTAGTTAGTTTGGCTGAGTTTGCAGAATTTTGCATGGAAAAGTATTTAATAAAATCAATTTCACCATAAAAATGCACGTCAAAGGCTAGATTTGTGATGAATAATAATCATAATAAGAGACGGTTTGGTGAGGATTATTTCATAGAAATGCTGAATGTGCTAAATTTTCTGATAGGATAAGTGTTTGATAAAATAAGCCAAGTATTGCTACTGGCTCTAAGTTGGATAAAGCTACCAACCAAACGGAGCCTTTATTTCAACTCTGTCATCTTAAGAGTCATTAGTTAGTAGAGTGCTTACAGTGCGATATGGGAATGAAGAAACATGCCTCCCGTCTACTTGGATATGATAACCTTCCAGCCCGGCACTGACAGTCAGTACAAACAGTTTGTTCTCTGCGAAGGGGTAGGGCCAGTCAATTGAAACCTTCTTCTTTGTCCTGCCAATCAGCCTATTTATCCACCATGTGGCCTTTGATTCCTCAGAGCGATTATCATCATCGCGAATCCACTTCTCACATTTCACCTGCCCATCAACTTTGTACGGTCCAGAAATCATAAACAAATGTTTTTTTAAATGAGCAGAAAAGGACTGAGTTATAAATGTGCTTGCCAGAATACAAATCAGGTACTCGCCGGTATTCCAATAGAGTGCTTGTCAAACTTTAAGTAAGTGCAAATTGAAGTTCACCATTAGTGTAATAATAGAAACATACACGGCAAGGCAAGAATGATTTCGTTTAACTTCCCTAAAATTAAGCTTATTTATTGGTTTATGATTTAAAATTGCATTAGAACCTTCCAGAATAGGTCAGTATGTGATAACAAAAGACACATACAGCAATAGCGGGATGATATACTTCAGAACCCCTAAAATCAAAACTAAAAATCTTGATGTAAAATCCACAACCATAGTCAGACCAACATTTCAAATAGTTAGGCCCCACATAAGTGTTTTAATCTAAATTGCTTATCATTTTCATTTACCCTAGTGCAGCAAAGGCTCCCTCCCACCTACGGTGGGGTAAGGGGGGGTCAGATGTACGCAGTCTTACCCCTGTACTAAAGCAAGCACAGAGAGACTGTTTCCGGATGGCCCATAGTGAAAATCGTGTCCAAAATTGCATGGACTGACTGCTACTTCATAACAAAGAAGCGCAGACAGTTTAGTGAGTCATTTTGCTTTATTCCATCATATTCTCAAGCCAAAAGATAATGAATCTTTGGCTCCATTGCAAATGATGGAAATTAATCTAAATTGCTTCAAAAGAAAATAAAAATTTCTACCTAAATTGTTAAGGATAAGTAATTAGTTATAATAGTTAACTCATTTAGTGAACTGGTCAATTGATGCTGCAACTGAGACTCATTAGGCAATGATCATGTTGATGTTGATACTTGATAGAGATTTATTGTTATATTTCAAGGTATGACACCTACAAAGACTGTTATCACTATATTCATCAAATTGCTGCAAACACTTCAGAATAATTTAACCATTAATTTTTTCTATATTCGAAACATTGCGAATGAAATGAAACCTTACCAATATTAACACATATGCTTAGAAGGAAATCGAGAAAATAAAATGTTCAAAATACCACAATTTTATAATGTTACTAAATGTGGAAAATATATGAATAAAACATTAGAACTTAAGTACAAAAGGAAGAAGAAGAAAAGGCAGGTTTCAGACCAAAATCAGTCACCATATCTTACAAAAACAGAAAGACGAAAACACTCACCGGTCTCCTCATCAGCCTTGGACATTAATCCATCACACCTCATTGCAGCTCCCCATTGCATCCGGTAACACGTGTTCTGCTCAATCACTGGCCTTCCACTCCAATCCCCTTTCAAACGCGGATTGAGATGAAGTATCCTCGGTGGGTCCTCCCCATCCACGGTCTTCAGCCCTTGTAACTCCATCATGAACTGTGAAACCATCACTGTCTCCTCCCCAGCCGCAATTCTAGAATCCTTCTCGGGATGAGCCCACCTTGGTGTGCCCACCACCGTTACATGTGACCCCAAGGACAATCCACATGGAATCACCAACAATCTACCCTTCTGTACAAACTCGTCCCCTGTTAAAATCACTGAGATGGGGCATGACTCGTTCAGGCTCTGTGTCCGGTATTCCAAGTCGCTTTGAATTTCCCCAGATTCTATCTCTTCGAGTAATTTCTTCCCAGCCGCGAATGCATCCCTGACGACCGTGTGGATCTGGGAGAGGTCGCGTTTGTTGATGCTATTGAAGGCATTCTCGTCAAAAACTAAGCCCGACACTTTCTTATGATCCCCCATTTTCCTCTGAGTAGCACTTGTCGGGAAGCGAGAAATTGCAATTTCCCTTCGAGGATGAAACGCGGGCTCCTCCTCCTTCTCGCTATCAAGCAAAATTAAACGCGAGTTTCCAGAATGAGACTCGAGCTCCCGCGAATCCGACTCGAAACCTGTTCTGAAAACCAGAGGGATTTCGAAGCTCACAAGAACCAGGTACAGAAACAACACAAACATCAGGACTTGAATCGATCTGAGCCGACTCACCGAGATAAGTGAGTCGAGCTTCCCTCGCTTCATTCTTCTCCCCTTTCCTGAAATTTTTCAGCTATTTCCGAGCATTGATTAAAAACAAAAAACAAAAACAGATCGATAACCGGGAGCCTAAATGAAGAAAAGCAGGTGAAGGACAAATGTGTGCTAGTTCAACATTTCAGATTAACTGCATAAACAATAGATTCAGCACGTCAGAGAGCGATATAGCTTGAACAAAAATGGGAGGAAAGAAAACACAGAGGAATATCTGGAAAGCAAGTTATTTGAAGTGGAAATGCAATAAGATCATGGTCTCTGACTTGACTATAATTTTGATGGCCGTTACTAAGATTCATTGACGAATTAAACGTCGTCGTGACTCCGGGATGAGTGAGAGCATGACGGAAAGAGACGCACTTGTGGAGAATGAGTTACAAAATTGGTATCCAAATTATAAAATTGGTATAAAAAAAAGTGGGTTGTTTACCAAATTGGAAAAAAAAGAGGGAAAAGGACACCAATATTAGTATTAGGAGGCCCAAATACACGAGAGTGATTCCAATTTAAAAAACCTGGAAAAGTGACCTAGCGGTTAACATAATTGGAATTTGGAAACAATATCATGGCCCCCTAAGTTAAGAACGGCAACTCTTCCGAATAAATTTTAAAGTTACACGTGGCATACTAACTTCGAGAGTTTCCTATTAGAAAGAATCCAGAACAATGGCTTCCAAATCTGCTCTTCACTTCGTATCTAAAATCGAGTTCAGCAATGGAGATCGAGTTTTTCAAGGAAGAAAGGAGAGTTTAGCATCGAAAATCAAGCTTCGCATATCAGGTATGTTTAATGCTTTGAACCGCAACTTATATTGACATTATTAGAGATGTCAATATAATTTGAGCGGTTGAATTGATTGACATGTTCGTATTAAATCGTGTTTCTTCATATTAAAATGAATTTCATGTTAGTTTTTGGAGATCTGTTACACAAATATGCCAGTTACACCAATATGCAAGTAACATGATTTTTTGTCTTAAACTCAGACAATAGTAATTACCGATGAATTTGTTGCTAGTGTTTGTTGATTTGTATTCATAGGTTTAAGAGAATTTAGAAGTCACAAATGTCTGCACTTATGTATCATTTAGTTACAGAATATTTTGGTAAAGTAGTATAGTTATCAAGTATAATGTGTTCTTAAACTTGTAAGCTTGTAAGTATATTTGAATTTGTGGACGAGAACAACCATTGATATGTCACTTACATGTTTACTAATTACGTTGTTACATAATCTAACTGGATTAATGTTAGATAACTTTTAAAATAGATAGTGTTGATGTTAGATTTCATACAACAGTCACATTCGAAGTAGATAATTTAAAAGTGTACATGAACAACAGTGCAACTTTCAGGTTAATTTGAAGGAGTTGTAACTGTAGTTTCCTTTATCATTGTTGTTACTGTAGTTTCTTACTTACATTTTTTTGCAGTGACTTTTAGTTGGTCAATTCATGTAGTTACATTGTGTATAGTTTCCTTTATCATTGTGTTACTGTAGTTACATAGGTACATTTTTCCAGTGACTTTTAGTTGGACAATTCTTGTAGTTACATTGTGTATAGTTTGGTCGGTCATTACGTAACTTTAGTTACATAGTTACATTTTTCTAGTGACTTTTAGTTGGACAATTCTTGTAGTTACATTGTGTATAGTTTGGTCGGTCATTACGTAACTTTAGTTACATAGTTACATTTTTCAGGGATTTGTACTTGAAAAATTCATGTAGTTACATTCTGTATAGTGTGTGTGGGCATTATGTAACTGCAGTGACATAGTTAATTTTTTTCTTAAACTTGTGTGCATCAAAATATAGGTAGTTATACTTGGTGAATATATATTTTTCAGATTAACGAAAAACAATTCAATTTTTTTTCCTAGTAGGATGGAAAAAATTATGTTGACAGTATTGTTTGACGGAAGATGGAAGGCTGATAGAAAATTTGTCTCAAAATCAACACATGGACTCCTTTTGAATGTGAAGGCGTCATATAGTGAATTGGTTCATGAACTGCGGAACAATTTGGATATTGATCCTATAGTGGATATTTGCAGCATATCATATCAAATAGATGAAGAGTTTGATCCAACTTGTATTGACAGTGACAATAGTTTGCGGTGTTATTTACATCTCAAAGGTATAGAACAAAATAAAGCCAGTAAGTATCCATTGTGCGTTCAAATAAAGAACAACAATGAGATGAATGTGGTTGCAGAGGACAGTGAAATGGAAATAGAAAATGAAGGTGTTTGTGTGAACAATAGTATTAATAGCGGGGAAGGTAAGGAAACCTATGTGAGGACATTTGAGGAGTGTGCAGTTGTTCATACACCACTACTAACACGGCTGGCTGATGAAGAAATGGTAGGGATGGACACCACATTACGACTTCATGGCATTTATCCTAGTAAAGAACTTTTGAAAGAAACTTTGTAACTATATGCACTACACAACAAATTCCAATTCAGGACCAAGTCATCATATCCTGATGCTATTCATGTTGTGTGCTTTGCGAAAAAATGCAAGTGGGCAGTACGTGGGGTCAGATTAAAGGACAATACTTGTTTTGAAGTGAGAAGGTATACAATTACTTATTTGCTTTACTGTAACTTTTTTTATGATGAAAAAGGTGTATTTTCATATGCTTTACTGTAACTGTTATTGCATATTTCTTATTGATCCAAAGCATAACATATAATGCTTTACTGTAACTGTTATTGCATGAATGTAATGACTTTGTATATAGTAACAGATCATCTAATAAGTATATTTAATATACATGTGATTAGCGTATTAATGATAATCATGCAGTTTTTTAATTTATATTTTTCTATGGTAACTGGAGGCAACAACGTCGAGATTATTAATCACTGAATGCGAATTTATACTGTGTTTTTTTAAATGGTTTGATAACAGGTTTGATGATGTTCATACATGCTCAATTAATGAAAGATTGAGTGGGAATAGACAAGCAACTGCCTCAGTTATCGGGAAATTAATTAAACGCCAATATCTTGATGCCTCAAGAAAGCCGTATCCACCAAAAGCTATAATGTCAGATCTGAGTTTACGGTTATGGGTGGATATCAATTACAAAAAAGCATGGAGAGCGAAAGAGAATGCTTTGATTCAAATATGTGGGACAGATCGGGATTCATACAGAAAGTTGCCAAGCTTATGTTACATGATTCACCAAAAAAATCCTGAATCCATTATATCCCTGGACAGTGACTCTGAAGGCAATTTCAAGACATTATTTATGTCATTGGGAGCGTGCAGAAAGGGATGGCCAGCTTGTAGGCCAATTCTCAGTGTCGATGGTTCATTCTTGAAAGCAAAGTTTAAAGGAACAATTCTGACAGCGTGCGCACTTGATGCTAATCGACAAATATTTCCAATAGCGTTTGGAGTGTGTGGTCGCGAGAACAAGGAGTCATGGAGTTGGTTTTTTACTAAGCTGAAGGAATCTATTGGAGAAACAGATGGTATGTGCATTGTATCAGACAAGAATGAAGGACTTATTGGCGCTGCTAGGGAAGTTTATCCAAGTGCTTACCATGGGTATTGCGTGCAGCACATACTTGGAAATATAACTTCAAAGTTTGGAGGGAAAAAGCCTAATGTGACTAGGTTTTTCAATTCTGCTGCAAGGGCACCAACAACACACATTTGTGAGTATTACATGAAGTTACTTGATTCTGAGGATCCTAGAATTCGACAATATCTGGCTAAAATTGGTGACAAGAAATGGTCAAGAAGTCAAACGACATGCAAGAGGTACTCCATAATGACTTCTAATAACGCAGAATCGCTGAATGCGTTGAATGTAACTGCAAGGGAATACCCAATTTCAATACTGATTGGATTTTTAAGAACAAAGCTGCAAGAGTGGTTCAGCACAAGAAGAGAAGAAGCTGCAAATACAACACCATTATCAAGAAAAGCAGAAGATGTTCTTCTGAAGTTGCTAAATGATTCTGCCAGAATGATAGTAAGTTATAATTGAATTTTAAGAAATGATGAAATGCATAAAATGAAGCTATTTTTAAGTAAATAAAATGCATTATCTTATGTTAGTAACTAACTGCAGGTAAGGCCAGTCACTGCTTTCAAATTTGAGGTCATTGACAAAGCATGCAGGACATATGTTGTAGATCTTCATGCTAGATGGTGCAGCTGCAGAGAGTTCCAACTAGAGGAATTCGTATGCGTTCATGCTGTTGCATCGATAAGAGCAAGGCCAGGATTGACATGCTATGACTATATTTCAACATATTACAAGAGTAGTTCATGGTTGGAGGCATATGGTGGAGTCATTGAACCATTAGGTTCGTACTATGATGGTGATGTTCCGAGTGAGTTTAGAAATTGGGTCATCAACCCACCAATATCTGAAAAGCATGCAGCTGGAAGACCAAAGATTCGAAGAATACCATCAACGGGTGAATTTGTGAAGTAGCAAAAATGTGGGAGATGCAAACAAAATGGACACGATCAAAAAACTTGCAACAATCCCGTACCACGCCACTTAGAGTAGTTAACAAAGATTTATCATTCTGTTTCTTTACAAAAATATGACAGTACACTATAGTGAGATAACTTTTGGTGTGTAGGTAATTGTGTTTTTGAATTTGCACTTTAAAAACTATAACACACAAAAGCAAAAGTAATTTGCTTGAAAACTACACTGCATTAAAGACTTAAAGTTCTGTGTTTTGCAATATATGGTGCAGATAATCTGTTTTTTGTTGTGAAGTTTCTTGGTTTTGGATTTGGAGTATTGAACTGTGTGATAAAATGTATTGTATAGCATTTTGCATTAACAGATGTGGGGAGGGTAAGTTTAGGAGTCTATTATTTTAGCTATTGCATGTCAACGAATGCCTATAAAGAAGTAAATATATTTTTCTTTATGTTATATTGTTATTGATGTTTCTCCTAGAGTATCATTATATCCATCCTTCTTTATCTCAGTTATTTCGTACCAAATCTGGTGCGAATCATACTTGTTATATATCTGTCCTCTAATCTCATAAAACTAATACGAAGTATGTTTTAATTCTCATAAACTAAACGAATCAGTACTCTTGCAATAGAGGTAACTGAGAAACTTGTTGCATTAAAGGGGTTAGATGCTTGCCTCATAGGGATAAGGTCTTACCTTGAATTTGTCATTGATGGAAAACTAAACAATGAGTATTAATTCTTTAGTGATATCAAATGATAAGAAAATGATATCAATTTTAATAGAAAACTAAACGATGAGGGTATTAATTTGTTTTAAAAAGGATAAAACTAATAGAGTAGACAGAACGGGTGATTGCATAGAGATCATTATAGTTCCATACCATAACAAAAGATCAAATCAGGACAGTGTGCGTTGTTGTTCTTTATCATACATTCAAAAAAGAAAAATACAAGAACACTGATAACAAAGTAGATTCAATGTCATTCTACATTCAATGAAAACACATATATTTTAAGAAGCAGATGAATGGACATCTAGAGCATTTCCATCTGTTGAGCCATGAACATAGAGGTCATACGCCCACTTTGCTCGATATATAATCTGGGACCTTTTCAGGGCATACCAACTTTATATCCATGTCCATCTGAAGAACCTCAGCTAACTTCATCATTAAAAAGCCACAATCACCCCTGAAAAAAATCAAGTAGCAAATATAGATTACTGACACAATGTACTAGTGACATGAGAAGTCTATGTCACTGCCAGTACAACTTACAAGGTATTCCAGCTACATATTAAATCTAACATGAATAACCTACAGATGATTTGTATATAAAGGCACTAAGATTTAAAATGTGATAAAATGCTAGTTACCCATTTTCTTGTTGTGGTACACCATGAACCATCTGAATGTTAAATGGCTTCACACTAGTAAGTTTAGCTTTGTTGCCTCGCCCTCTAAAGTAGGAAAATATAATGGGAAGATAATCAGCCCACGCATTTCATCAATCAGGCTTTTACGAAAAGCACCACGTCTACTGTTAGTATCGTAGACACGCAAGGTGTATGCTTGAACGTCAAGAACGACTAGAATCCAATGTTGTGAGTCTATGCTTAGAGGGCAGTAGATGTAGTCACACTCTAGCCACGGGCGTAGAAACAGAGAGTCATCTCCTCCTAGAGTGTCTTTCAAATATAAGTCCTTGCCAATTTGAGATGGATGGCATTTACCATTGGTATAAGAATCATACAACTCATTCAAATTTCCAAGGAAGTATGTTTCTGAAGTTGTGAACTTCTGAGTATAATTGTATGTTGCCGCTTTGACACGCAAGTAAAAAGAAATAGTGTCTACATGCTGAAATGTGAAAAATGAACAAATATCAGAAAGTACTAAAGTTTTCTTCAATAAAACTATTAAAGCATTAAATTTAATGATAAAATAAACGAAACACACCGTAGCATCAAGTCGTTGGACTGATTCGTGTAGTCGATAAAGCCACGATTTCTTATCAATTTGCAAACCAGGTTCTAGAACAAGTTTAATATTGGATTCATGTGCAGGAGCATACTTAACCAGCTTGGAATATGATTTGTGTCCTCTGACAACACCTTCCATGATATAATCAGAAATCTCTACTTGTTTAGAATCTGACTTGAAGGGGGCAAATGGATCATGACTGAAGGGGCAAGTTACTTGGAAAGTTCGATGTTTCTTCCCCTTTCTTATAGCATCAGATCCTGGAGTGTATCGGGAAGGTGAACGAGCACTCCGTTTTGGTCTAGCGTGCTGTAAGTGTCTATCATCATTTTCAATAGCAACGATAGCATCATTGTTGTGAGGAGGTGCGACCTACACATTAATAGTATAAAATAACTATTAGTTAAAAATGCAAAAAATGCAAGTGTTTTAACAGTAAGCATTGCCTTTCAAACTAGTGCACACACCTCAGGATTGTTTAGAGGACAAATAACTGGAGCACTTCCAGCCAATATGGGTGGCTGAGGAAAGTTAAAAATAAAATAATTAATACATAATGATAAATCATCATGTTAGAAGCTGTACAGAAGTAGACAAGGGTACAAGTGTGGACATACTTTAGGATCATACATGTCAAAGGCAATTTCGAAGATCTGTGTCAATCCAATTTCTACATCATTGTTTATCATATTACTTACTCCATCGCCATCGTCCGTGATTCCAGCAGCAACTTCAGTGTTGGAGTCAGGTAGATTAACATTAGGAAACAGGTTTTCAACATGGTGTGAGGCAGTGTGAGTAGCACCCTTATCAAGATCAGCTTCACTACGGTCATTATGCAGAGGAAATGCTTGGTATGGAGGCACATTTTTCTCTGAACTATCAACCACAGCTCTGAGGTTGTGAATAATTTCTTGTTGTTCTTTAAACTCTTCATCAAATCCCGAAACTTCATTTCGTAATCTTTGCAATTCGTCTTCAAGGAAAGAAATTCTAGCTTCCAGTTTCTGATGCGTTGTTTCACCCGAACATTCTCTGGAATTTGAAATTGGTGCATGATCACTAGTATCATCAATATGAGGGCTGAAATTTCCAGGTGCTATTGCTCTTGATGTATGAGCAATAGAGGAGGAAGCTGCATTGGTTGTTCGGGGTGTTCTTGGAGATTTGTTCTTCAAATGACGTGATTGGGGAACAATATTCAAAGTGTGAGCACTGGTGGAAGCTGAGATTGCACTGAAAATAAACTGAAAGCATGCACTAAAATTAAAAGATATGTTTACTACACAATGAATCTGAGAATATGAAAAATAAATGTCATAAGCGTTATATACATATATCTCAACAACTCACATCCTTGTTGCTGAAAATACACTCCTTTAGAGTCTCACTGCTTGCCTTAGCTGTTGAGGACCATCTTAGAATCCTAGGGACAGCACTAGGGTCAACCATTCGAGCTATCTCGAGATCATTAAGAACAAGAAATGACTCAAAAGCCCACACTTGTAAGGCCACAATACAACCATAGATATTGTAATGCAAAGGATTGGATGACAGACTACGTACGACAGCAGTAAAATAACTAAGCATGTCATTCCAAATGACAGTTCCCCATGGATAAGAATTAAAAGCAGGTAGATCATCAACAAGGTTCAGATAAGTGTTATTAACTGAGACTTGACCTTCAGCAGCTAAAAAAGCAAGAGTGAGAATAAAAAGAAGGGAAAGCTTAACTATGTCATCAGGTGTTTCTGTTCCCCTTTGAATAGACTGAAAGACTTTCTTAATTTCAATACGTTTGACCGTTTTTTTGAACTGTGGAAAGTACTTTTTCCATAAAGTTCCCCTTTGACCTACTAAATGTTCCAAAGTAGGGACACTGTCACTAAATTTCAAACCCATAATTTCAGTGAAATCAGAAAAAGAGAATGTTATGATTCTATCCTGGATTTCAAAAGACATAGCTCTTTCCTCTTTTTCCATCTCAACTAGGTTTCCAATAAGGAGATGGAGGAGTTGCCCACAAGAAGACATCTCCTTGGCATCTAAAAACTTTCCAAAGGCTGATTTCTTAAACATATCAAGCTCAGCAGGAAGTAGCTTAGACCTAACCAGATTTATTGAGGCATAAAGTCTAGAAAAAGTGTTAACCCTCCTGCTTTTTGTGTCACTATAGACCACATCCTTGTTGACCAAGCAATCTCTTGTAAGTCTGAAAAATAACACAAGCACAGAGCAATTCAGAATGTGCATGTAATAGTTTGTTTTATTTAACTTCATATAAGAATAAGTACACATGGAAGAAAAAAAACTTACAGATTGTGGCCTATGTGACAATGATAAACGACTAGAACGTCGTTGCGTTGTTGGATTGGGTACCGATGTGAAATCACTGTCACACATGTCTGCAAACAAAATATCTTCGATAAAAGGTATATTGAACTCCAAATGGAAAGTATAACCTTGTTCAACATAAATAAGTTAGAAAAAACTAAAATGCATTGGCCTAAGGAATTCAATAAGTGGACAAATATATTGTATTGTTAAACATTTAATAAACCACATATTATAATACAAGAGATAGATATCAAATCTTAAGCTATGGATTCATGAGAATGAAGTATACAGTTGAAATACTTTCAGCAAAATACCTAAGTACTAATGAACGAGAATCATACGATCAACAAGTACTCTGTAATCGACAATGGAGCTTCGAAACTTAAATCACAGAAAACAGTTCGGCTACATAATTACTTTAACAAATTTAGTTGAGGATGAACAAAAATCAACAATGTCAATTGAATTGACAATGGAGATGGAAAATTGAAAGCACAAAGATAAAGTTCAATGCCACAATTACCTTCACAAATTCGCTTTCCCGTCTAGATGAGAAATCGACAATGCATGATGGATTGATGTAGAGGAGAAGAAGAGAAAAATGGCATCGGAAGCAAAACGGAAGGAAAAATGAGCGAATGGCGGTGACTTGAATGAGAGAAAAAAAAGGTAAACTAATAACGTTAAAATTTTAAATGAACTCGCTTTATTGGAAAAAATAGAAAGTGGTACTATTTGTGTCATTAGAAGTCCAATTACTAATATTGGGGTCATTTTTCCAAAAAAAAAAAGACAAATTGGTCTAAAAATTGATCAATTTTTTGTCGGTGAGACATTTTTCGTCCCGAACTTTAAAATTGATATTTCCAATTCTTCTAGTGTGATTTTTATCATTAAAAGTGAATATGATCAAAAAATCATTAAAAGTGAATGACTAAGGGGTTAAAAGTGAATGACTAATGGGTATTTGGATTTAATTCTTAAAACTGATTCCGTGCCTCAGGGAGCAAAAACAGAAATTAGAGAGTTTTTGAAGTTCAGAAGTATTTCTGGTTAGGGCTGGGCAAAAGACCCGGCCCCGTTGGTCCGTTCCGGAACGTTTCGGTTCCGTTCCGAAATTGTCTCGTTAAATTTGGGACAAACTATTTTTGTCCCGTTCTGGTCCCGAACCGTTTCAAAACAAAACGGGACCGGGACATAGAAAATATGTCCCGTTCCATCCCGTTGTCCCGAATTCAAATACTAATGAAATTAATTAGGTATTAGTTATATAATATGTAGAACACATAAAGGAGACTAAATTATCAAGTATGAACTATCTTCTACATACTAAAAAGAAACTCACATATACTCCCACGTGTTACACTTTTAATAATATTGCTTGTCTTTTTTAGTTTTGCAGTTTCTTAGTAATATTGCGTGTGTTGGAGTTATTGTTGTTGTTGTCACCGTTTGTTTCGTGCAACTATCCTATTAATCTACTACTTTTTTGTGTTGCATTTATCGTAATTTTTTATGTGTTGCATTTTTAGTGTTGTAGTTTTTTGTCATGAAGTGTGTTTATCGTTTTGATGTGTTTTTGGAGTTGTAATTTCTCGCTGCAATTTTTTTGCGGTCCCGAACTGTCCCGTTCTGTTCTGGTACCGGTTTAAAAGGGACAATAGCGGGACAACGTCTTGTCCCGTCCCGTTCTGTCCCGTTATCCTAAATTGGGTTCGGGACCGGGATAGTCTAATTCCCGTTCCGTCCCATCCCGTGCCCACCTCTATTTCTGGTGCTCTAATTTACTCCTTGAATCAGTTTTTTTTAAAGTTGGGGGAGATCAGATCCTGAAAACTGATTATGATTCTGCTTTTGTTTTAAAAAGAGGCAGAAGCAGGATCAGTTCCAAACACTCCCTAAAATGTCAATGAGAGAGTTTGATAATTGATTATTGACTGCTAGTTGATAGTCGGTTGAATCAGCAGATTAATACTAATTGATTATGTTAGGTGTTAGTTGTTTTAATTAACCACTTTCATTAGTGGCTTGAAGTAAAATGTTTAATAACATAGATGTTTGCCATTAGATATATAATGCTTTTATCAACAAAATATTTAGTAACCAACCACTTTCATCAGCAAAATATTATAACATTTATGACATTCCCATCGTTGGGTATGTATATATACAATGTTTGGTTATCGCTAAACATTGTCTCACCCCTTCGAATCTTCCCCTTTATGAGTCCTTGACCTATCTTTGTTAGACCTTCATGCGCGAAATGGTTGAGGCACCCATTTATAGGACGAACATGAGACACACCAATACGTGATAAAATACGTGAATGTTTTAACAACTTGAATGACACCATTATGAGCCTCAATGCTAGGATAAAATATATGACCTTTTAAGAATTAAAGGGAACCCTAGGACTCCAATGAGTTTCATTTGGAAGTTCTATATTCCTCCAAAATTCTCTTTTAATGTTTGGTTGGCCTTAAGGAACCAAC